TATATATATCTCTCTCTCTCTCTCTCTCTCTCTCTCTCTCTCTCTCTCTCTCTCTCTCTCTCTCTCTCTTCTTACACACTTATATCTTCTTTAACTAGAATATAGGCCAGAGGCTATCGCTAGATTAATGCTGTCGTGATATATAGTAAATAAACTGACAAAATGGCGCGTCAAATGACTGCATGAAAGAAATCGCCGGCACTCTTCATTTTAGATGGTTCAGTGACCCTGTTTAAACCGATAAAACTCAGAAACTTTGTCACAATTTTTATCTGGCTGTACAGAAATAGCGAGGATTGCGCGAATGTGGATTAAAGACCAAAGTGGATCAACAATTTGTAATAACATGGCCAAGCTATGTTAGTCTGAATATGTTCAATATTCAGTCAGAATTGATTAATGGTACCACTATGGTGGCGTATGTTTCACCTGTACAGATTGATGACAATAACGCATTGGTCTTTACAGCACCGCGAAGTGGGCCGGAATCTGGCTGTGGGACTGGAAGAGTGAAGGTAAAAGTCGTGCTGCTGTAACTGATATGTCCAGAGGACAACCTCAAAGTTGCAAGGAAATATTCGCCCATGTTGCGCGCTCAGTGAAACAAGGCTAGCCTTGTCCACTTGGAACTCATTTCAACGCTCTCCATGCAGCGATAATGAGACCCCTTATGTCCGGTAAAGGAGCTCCCTTAAGTACAACACTACGGGGCATATGTTGTTCCCGGTCAATTGCTCAAGGGCCTTTTTGTATCACCGCAGTGTGCGGAGCGGCATCCCTGGGCGAATCGGAATCTCGTGGAGCGATACACCTATGCATTGAACCTCTCCCTGACACGAGAGGCCTTCTGACTCGCGCAGTTGACTCTGGATCGACGCATGAATCATCATTAACGCAACAACATCTCTGCTCACCGCTGGTGATGAAATAATTGAAACATGGACTCCAGTTGGACTTAACGGGCCCATGCTGGAAAAACGTTGGGGGGGGGGGGGTTCGGGGGGGACCGTTAGACACTGGGGGCCCTGACTGGCACGGACTTCTTATTTCCTCATATGAGCACTCCCCATAAGTTTTTGTTTCATTCAGTTCCAGAGGTCCTCGACCAACGCAGATACCCTCTGCCGTTCGGGCTCCCGTCACCGTCCCAAATGAACGAATCCTCCTCTGACCGATTCGAGGCCCCTTGTTGACCCAGAATGCCCTGTTTGGCACTGTAGTCCCCAACGGACCTAGCAGCCCTCATTGTGTCAGGGACCCCTGAACATTGCGAATCGCTGACCCCGGCCTCGTGTCTGCTTGGGAAATGGGTGTCCAGGGCTCAGACGGACATGGAGCCGACTGTTCGGTGTTCATGGTCTCTGACGATTAGACACCCGCATTGTCTCAGGAGTTCCTAAAACGGTGCAAGAGGACCTCTAAGTGATATTTAGGGTCGTGACCCTACGGCCGCCGAATTCTTTATGTCACTACAGCCAGTCCCTCGGGCTCTTATGCCCTCCAACCGGGCCTTTGATCGTCGGCTCCGGTGTGCCGCCCGGGCCCCTCTTGGGCCCGATCGAATACTTCCCTGGTCGGTCGGGGCCCTTGCGGGCACAGGACCCTCTGTTAGGCGCCGTGGACCCCTGAATAGAAAGGCCTGCGGCCAGTGGTAAATAATCGCCTGGTTTTGTAGCTAATTGGGAAGTGTGCCCTCAGACCCATACAGACACGGATGCCCCGTGTGGCACGGGTGGGTACCTGACCGACACGTAGACCTATATCGACTCAGGGGGGTCCCTGGTTGGCGCAAATGGCCTCTGGCCGTCTGAGCGTCCGTACTCGCAGGTCTGGGCCCCTGAATAAGACTCCGACAAGTCATTTATGTCCTTAGACCCTCTAATCGGGCGCTTGATCGTCGGACCCGGGGACCCTCTATGCTCTTCGGGCCTCCAACAAACATGCCTCCGGTCGGCACGGGGCCCATGGCAAATATGGCCTTGTTGGGCGCATATGGAGCCCTGCACAATGTAGATACGCTGGTCCGGCTTTGACCCTGACTTGGGAATTGGGCCCGTAGGTCCACGCCGCCACGCAGCCGACTGCACGTATTCGTGGTGTCTGACCGAAATACAGGCCCTTATCGGCTCAGTGGGCCCCTGATCAGTGCGTAGGGCTCTCTGGCTGGCATTGGAGAGTGTCTAGTACTACGGGCCGGGGCCCCTGGATGAGATCTCTGGCTGGCTTTCCGGACCCCTAATCTTAGGTTCCGAGAGGCCTTCGGGCTCTTCGGAACCAAAGGGGCGCACGTACCCACTGTGCCCCCCCCCCCTGCCTGCGCTACTGCAGCCAGCCCAGCATTGGGGAGGTCCAGCTCAAAATTGGAGGGGGGCACGACCCCAAAGACATAAAGAGTTCCACCCTTGCTTGCTACTGTTCTTGGTCACCTGGAAGCCCAACCATGTCCTCTTTAGTTGCGTTTTGTGCACAAATATACTTCCGTTCTGCCGGCTATTGGCCCTTTCCGAGCCTGTGGGGCCCTTGGGGCCACAAGAACGACCACGGCGCCGTAATCCTCTCTAGACTCCGTTACACACATGCGGTCCATTACGGAATTGTCGACAGTTAAGCCGTTATTGTGTGTGACGTCATGGTACGATCAGCTGTAAGCGTTAGCGAAATTTCCCACAATCAGCTGTCGGCTGCGCTGCCGATTTCAGCGTCGCTGGGGCTGTGGTCGGCGTGGCTGTGTGAGCGGCGGATCATAGATGTGAGGGAAATCATCATGTATTGACATCAGATGGGAAATAGAGCTATCTGAAGGGGTCAAAGGAATAAGAAATGTCTGGAGAATGTACTGGTAGCAATATTGCATGGTCTGCCTGATAGATTTGGCCGATGTCGACCGTTTTCTTGAGTGCGAGGCATACACCTGTGTGCTACAACTTATGAGCTAGCATCAAACATTCACAAGATGATGATGACTCTGAACTGGAGGCCAGGACCCTGCCTGGCTCAGCCGGTGTGCCATGTAGTTGTTAACAGCTGTTTTTCCTGTTCAACACTAGCAACAGATGCTATAAACTCAGGCGTGCAGACTCACCATTTCTAATCAAGTTGTCCATCATTTATGGATTGCTGGCTACAGTGCATTGTGAGGAGCTGCGTGTGGGATCAGATAGGATAATACAGATGTCGCTTATGCACCATGATGCTGCCCAAATGGTACTAATGGGAACAAGAAACAAGGGTGAAATGGAGTGAAATAAGGATCAAGGTTTCCTCATAGAATGATCAGAATGGACATGTATATATATATATATATATATATATATATATATATATATATATATATATGAGAAACATATTGATATATTAATCTATCAATTTGTTTATTCTCCTGGTTATTCTACAAGCCATCAAGGCTGTTGTTGCACTTATCCCAGGTATAGGT